GTTTTAAAAATTATTTGGAGTGCTTGGCATTATATAAGACGATCCGGTTCATTACGGGTCACAACAGTGTTTTCTACGCAACCTACCGGGATTTCTAACTACTTAAGCTCTAAACGCGCTACTTGAGAGATAATAATATTTCTAAAGTGCTATCTAGCTACTAACCTGGTATTTAAATTTCCGGATGTCACATGTTATCCCAGATTCGACTCCTCAACTTATTTAGGCAAAGTTAAACATGCTTATTGAGAACGAGATCTTTTTGTGTTTTCCATGAACTTGACTGACAATATTGACATTATCACGACATAGCATGACATGCTTCTCAAGCATTGATTTCTTATTATTGACATCAATGAGACGGTACATAGGTCTCACAAATGTAAAGGGGATAATCTAGTTAGTTCAATATAACTAGTAGTGGATAATATATCTTATTTAATAAGCATACACCATAGTTCTTTTTAGTTTGTAGCTTGACCATCCCTTGGACATTTTTTTCTTCACTTTTCATCCATACATCTAGCAATTCAGTTAGATGAGTGGCGAGCAGACTTATTTGCTTCTGTTATTAGTTAATTCAGGATTTTTATTGTTGTCTTTGTAATTGGGTGGTTGAATATGTTCTTATCTTTATTTTACATGACATATACCCGTTGTATGTTTTTATATGCTTGTGTCTGATGCCACCTTCTCTTCTATTTGTGAAGGGAGCAGTTTCTTTTTTCTTCTGATGCTGTAAATGAATTGAAGGAAGCTGTTGCTAAAAGCAGTCATGAGTTGGTCTACTTATATGATGTTAATCTCGTGGATGAAGTATGGAAAGAAGCAAGGCCAATGCCTCCAAACGAGCCAATCCGAGTGCATGACCATAAATATGCCGGTGTAGATGTGTCGACTAAACTATCTAACCTGAGGTCTGAACTCACCGATGCTGGTTCATCTGCAATTGTTATCTCTATGCTTGATGAAATTGCCTGGCTACTGAACTTGGTAATGCTTTTAACTTCGGTAGATGTGTATATGCCCAAGTTTTTTAGGTGTTACTTTGAAGATAGGACAGGAAATCTGTGTATCAAGTTCATATACAAAATTGCTCTAAGATACCAGAGTTCTACAACATGAGAAACTGGATAACCATATATAGATGTAATTCTCAAAGGATGATTACCTGCTACCTACAAACTAAGAAGCTATTGCCTTTTGAGCCCACTATCTAGCATTCTAAGCTGCTACATATCATGAGAAATGCCTCAAAAAGACACCCCCCCTTTACCAATGTTGACATATTGCTAGCAAGGATGGCTTAATCTTCCATGATGATCTGGAATGCTGACAAAAATGTTGGGGAACGTAACAAGAGCGGACCTATGGTGGTGAAAATGGTTTTCTCTTTGCATTCCTCACTTTTCCATTATTCTTCAGTTACTAACACTGTCATACTTCTCTCTGTCCCCAGTTGTAGATACTACTATTCCTAATACAGAAAGGAGTTAAGAGTAGTCTTTTTACCTTCAATTGGCAAGTAAAGATGCATATTTTTAAGTCTTGTGAAAAGGCTGTGTCATGTCATTGATCATACTCCAAAGAGTTCTTCGTACAGTGTTTATGTATTTATAAATCAACTTGTACTAAGTGGAATCTGTTTCTGTATTATTTTATTTATGCATCATCTTTCTTCTTTCTTGGGGCACAACAGTTATAATAGGTCTGTCCAAGGTATGCTCGGTTTCTTAGGCATTGTCTTGCTTCACTGATTATACATCACATGTGTTTGCAGAGAGGAAATGATGTTCCACATTCTCCTGTTTTCTATGCGTACTTGATAGTGGAGATCGATGCGGCAAAGCTGTTTGTTGATAACTCCAAAGTCACCCCTGAAGTGATGGATTACTTGAAGAAAGCTGGCATAGAGCTAAGATCATACGAGTCCATTCTTTCTGAAATCGAAAGGTGAGTTTGGAGCGTGAAAATTTCCGCATCCAGATTGTTCATGATCTGCTGGAGAATTTGCATCCTTGTTTCAGTTTTGTCAGGGGTTGTTCTATATGCATTTCTGTGATGCTCTTTTTACCATACCATTCTTTCTCTTTCAGCTTAGCTGCTCGAGGGGCACACCTTTGGTTGGATACAACATCAGTTAATGCTGCTATTGCAAGCACATATGCAATTGCCTGTAACAAGTTCACAGAAAACCTTGGTAGTAAAAGCAAAGGAAAGGACTTCGCAACTCGTGGTTCCAATCGCTTATCTAGCGCGCCTTGTGCATTGTGTAAGAGCTCTCCCGTATCTCTAGCTAAAGCAGTGAAAAATCATGCCGAGCTAGAAGGGATGCGTAATTCTCATCTAAGGTAATCAGAACCGGTTTCATTACACTTTGGTTTGATAGACCTTTTTTCTTGTAAAGTTAGAATGCTTATGTAATTATGAGGGATTTTGGTATGTATATTTTTCTTAAGAGGGATTTTGGTAATAAATTGAATATCCTATAATACACAAAAATCAAAATATTGAAATTGATAATTCACCGAGAGTTATATGCATAGAAAGTTGCACACACAGAGGATAAGTTGTTTTATAGAGTATTTCGTTATGGCTTTTGATTTAGGGGATACATACTAGTGAACCTTGCTTAAGCACTACTCGAAGCATTGATTGATGATTTATGTATCAGGGATGCCGCTGCTCTTGCTCAATTTTGGTCATGGTTGGAAGAGGCGGTGAATAAGAATGTGATACTCACCGAGGTAGAAGTTGCAGACAAACTTCTTGAATTTCGTTCAAGCCAAGTTGGTTTTGTTGATACCAGCTTCGATACTATAAGTGGTATAGTCCTTGTCATTCATAATTAAGCTCTTCATATTTCTATTTGTAGTGTTTTAATGCAATTTGTAACCAATTAAAATGCAGCGGAAAAATATTTTAGGTTACATTTGTAGAGAACTTTTCTAAAAGAATTAAAAGCCAAGCCGGATCCAATGACATATTAAAATGAATACTAAACACACTATAGAGTGTTTAGAGCTGTACCTTTCAGATCTATGGTCGGTTATGACAAAGTACTCAGAAACCAAGGGTTAGGTTTCCTCTATGGTGATCCACATACAAACACGTTTTGCACCTCCACCAGGTGCTAGCCCAAAACCCCCAGAAAAGAAAAGGTTTCTTTTCTGTACTTTATTTGATAACTAAATCTAAAAGATTCAATCAACTAAAATTGATTTATCCTATCACCTTATTTATACGGTCTGAATTATAGATAAACTATAATTCAAAATAAGGATTAGTAATTATACATATATATATATATATATATATAATTATCATAAACTTTAATATAATTATACACATTTACAGAACACTATGTAATTATCATAATTACACTTTTAACACATTTTTCATAATTATCCTCCAAAAATAATTATTTCAATGATCAACATGATTTAACATGCAAATGGAGGCAAACATATTCTTTGTGTGTGATCTAGCTTGATAGTATTCCTGTGTGACACCGTTATGGGTATATAATAACTTACATTCTCCTACTTGCATGATACATAGTAACACAAACGTAACACAGATGGGGTAAGGGCCTAGCAACATGTCACTGCCCCTAAGGCTATGTAAATGTGTCTTTCCTCTAGCAATCTAATTGACCCAATCAATCATATGGTTGAACCATTCATTATTCTTTTGCTTCACGATATTATGTTTTGAACTTAAGGCATAGATCCATCTCATCCTTTATAGTTTAAAATTATGTTTCTCGATCCCAACATATATGATTAGGTAAGTGCTATTAGTTCAACTAATCCACTTGTCAATGGCCATGTTAATCAAACTGTCATTGAGGGGCCCAAAAATGTCTCTAATCTCGAGAGAAGCAAATCTCATATTGCATGTACACGACTTATACACAATTCATGTTATATTCAATATAGCCCTTATCATTACCCAATTAAGGGTAACGTTAGACTTTATTAAAGTATTAACACTCTTTATGCATTAGGTACCGATACACATCTTAGGTCTGGGGATAAGAGTGTTCTCCATTTCGGGACTCATCTTATGACACCGATCTATGAGGTGATCCTGACTGTAGGTCTTGTCCAACACTTTTGCCTCGACAAGCGTATGCGACTCTGGTTGCCAGTGCACTTCCAACTTGGACTATGACCAGACTTCACAATGATCTTGATTTAGTACCAGTCCCCTAGTAATAACCGACCAAGGACAATTTTAAATAATAGGATCTTCAAATTTATTTAACGATACTTAAAACATGTTAATAATGAACACATAAATGTTGAATGTAAATACTCAAATCCAATATGCCATAACAGATAGAAACGTAACTGTTAGTTGTTCAATAAATTTAAAGTTTACTAACATTTACAAATCAGATCAACATATTACAAAACCTCAAGCCTATCGAACTAGTATGAGCATCATGCTTACTTTGAGTCAAAGGTTTGGTGAGAGGATCTGCCGGATTGTTTTTTGATCGAACTTTGCATATCTTTACGTCACCTCGATCAATAATCTCCTGAATCAGGTGATATCGTCTTAGAATGTGCTTGGAGCGTTGATGTGACCTTGGTTCTTTCGCTTGAGCTATGGCACCCTCATTGTCACAGTAGATATCGACAAGGTCATATATGCTTGGAACCACTCCTAGCTCTGAGATGGATTTCTTCATCCAAACAACTTCCTATGTTGCATCCAACGCCCCAATGTACTCTGAGTCAGTAGTTCAAATCGTTATCGTACTTTGCTTGTAGCTCTTCCAGCTCACAACACCACCATTTAACACAAACACGTATCCCGACTGCGATTTAAAGTCATTAGGGTCCGTTTGGAAATTAGCATCTGTATACCCTTGGATACACAGATCTCTTTCTTGACCGCTGTACAGTAAGAATATATCCTTAGTTTTTCTCATATACTTCAAGAGTTCTTCACTACTACTCAGTGAGCATAACTTGGGTTTTACTTATATCTGTTCGTCATGTGCTTAGGGCATACGAGACATCTGGTCTAGCAGATAACATGACATACATGATAGAATCGATGGCCGAAGTGTAGGGGACAGCGTACATACGGTTCATATCCTCTTTCGTACTAGGATACCGAGTCTTGCTCAGTTGTATCACTTGTATGCCATGTACCATTGGCAAGTTCCCTATCTTGGAACCCTTCATCTTGAAGTGTTTAAAGACCTTGTCAATGTATGTACTTTGGATTAAGCTCTTAATAGATCTTTATGCCAAAGATATATGCTACCTCTCCTAGATCCTTCATCACCGAAACACTTCCCTAGCTAGGCTTTTACATCCTCAAGCATTGGGATGTCGTTTTCGATGATCAATATGTCATCGACATATAGGATCAAGAATACTACTATTTTCTCACCGACCTTCTTGTATGCACTATGTTCATCTTCGTTTTACTTACACAAAATCAAATTCCTTGACTTTCTCGTTAAAACGAAGATTCCAACTACGAGATACTTGCTTCAATCCATGAATGGACCTTTGCAATTTGCATACCTTGTTAGGATGCTTTGATGCTTAAAACCTTCTTGTTGTACTATGTACACGTCCTCGCTCAAAGTTCCCTTAAGGCATGCAGTTCTAACATCCATTTGCCATATCTCGTGATCATGATACTCAATTATGGCAAGGAGAATCTTGATGGATTTAATCTTAGCTACTAGAGAAAAGGTCTCATCATAATCTATTCCTCGAGTCTGAGTGAAACATTTTCGCTACCAACCTAGTTTTATACTATGCACAATCCCATCCATGTTAGTTTTCTTTTTGAGTACCCACTTGCACCTAACGACTTTGTAGACTGTAGGTGCATCTACCAAGTTCCAAACTTGGTTGTCTGACATGGATTATATTCCAACCTCTATGGCATCATGCCATTTATCAGATTCTGAACCTGATACGGCACCCTGGTAGGTTACAGGATCATCATGAACTATGTCGTCATTGCCAATTAGATAACCATATCTCTCAGGCTCGTGACAATTCCTACCTGATCTTCGGATTGTTTGTATCTCGTCATTTTCTTCAATAACCTATTGAGGTTCAACATCTTGTTGATGGTCATTGTCAACCACTGTCTTATCTTGTGGTTCTTGAATTTCTTCAAGATCTACGTTGTCCCTCATTGTGGTTCTTGTTAGAAAATCATTTTCTAAGAACTCACCACATCGCGCAACAAATACTTTGTTCTCGCGGGGTTTGTAGAAGTAATATCCAATTGTCTCTTTTGAATATCCCACAAAGATGCACTTTTCAGACCTTGGGTCGAGATTCTTAGAAGTTTCTTGCTTAACATAACCATCACAACCCAATACTCTATGCAAGATGGCTTTGGGATCTTCCCTGTCCATAATTCATATGGGGTCTTTTCGGTGCTTTTGACTTCTTGGAACACCATCTTTCGAATCGTTACAAATTAAAATAGGAAATACAACAATATTCTTTTCTATTTACAGTTGTTCCTATCTAGAAAATTAAAATAAAACTACAACCCCTAAAAATAAAACAAACAAACCAAACTACGGGTCTTTTCGTGGCAAATCATGTATTACTTGTGATTTTAAACATAAAATTATAATCATAAATAAAAAGCCAATTAAAAATCGGAATTAACTAATTAAAACGGAAACTAACCATTATCTCGAAAAACATTTGGGTTCGGCTCAACCCCCCCCCCCCTCTTCCCCGTGCACATGGGCCCAAAAGCTCGGCTCAACACAGAAACATGGCCGGAAAACAAAAACTGTCAACCACGAGGACCGCCGCATGCGTTGGCATGGGGCATGGGTTGTGGCGTGCAAACCATAGCCAACGGCGCAAAGGCCGTGACCCTTTGGCAACAGCCTACGACACCAAAACCGTGGCCTCATCAGCAACAAACCACGACACCAAGCCGTGGCCTCTTCGGCAGCAGCATCCGGTGCAGCCAAAACCTAGCAGTGGTGGTGTGGTGTAGCAACATCGGCAGCAGCCTCTTGGCCTCAGCCAGGGGTGGTGTGGTGAACCAAAACAGTGACAGCAGCTCTTCGGCCAAGGCTGGTGGCCATGGCCTGCCCAAGACCTATCCCTACGGGATGATGGTCCTGCGCTGGTAGACTGTAGCGGCAATGATGCCGGTCGTGACCCGAGGATGACAGCAGCCGGAAAATAGTGGCACCCTAACCGTGGTTGCGTGACCACTTCAGCCGCGGTCTGTGTAGAAGCCAAGCTGCGCAAGGCGATGGTTCGGGCCTTGGGACAGCCGCGGTAATGAGGTGATTAGGGGAGGGGACAGCCATGCGAAGGCGGCAATTTGGGGCTGCCACATCTTTCGGCTCGCTCATTCGCTTGCCAAATTCCGGTTAATATGATTTCTTTTTGTTTTATAATTTCGATTCATTCATTCAATTGTCAAAGTGGCTCTGGTACCGCTGTAGGGTTTTAATGCAATTTGTAACGATCTAAAACGCAACCGAAAATATTTTAGGTTATATTTATAGAGAACTTTTTCTCTAAAAGAATTAAAACCCAAGCTGGATCTAATGACATATTAAAACGAATATTAAAACACACCATAGGGTGTTTAGAGTTGTACCTTTCAGATCTGTAGTTGGTTATGACAAAGCACTTAGAAACTAAGGGGTCGTTTGATTCGCGGAATTCGAAGGAATTTGATGGAATTGGAATGACATTCCTTTGACCAAATTTCAATTCCTTTGTTTGGTTCATTTCTTGAATGGATGGAATCCTTCAAATTCCATTGAATTCTACAAGTTAATGAATTCATCATTCCTTGGCATAATGGAAGGAATTGAATTCCATCACCATCCACCACGATCATTCTACTATTGTTCATGATGCCCCACACTTAACCCCCACTACTGATGTCGCTGCCACCCACCTTACCCCACCCTAACCATTATGCCACTACTGTTGTCATCACACCCACCCACCCTCCGGTCACTCACTACACATCCCTACTACGACTATGCTACTAACGTTAGTGTCACCCCCCCAACCTAACCCCACCACCACAACATTATTGTCATCGTCTGGGTTTAAAAATGCGCGCATTATGCGAACTGATGCGTGATGCGATGCGATGCGATGAAGAAAGCGCATCAAAGGGACTGATGCGATGCGATTCCATGATGCGATCGCATCACCTACGCATCACTCGATGCGTGCATCAGTCGAGCATCAGCGCATCATGTATATGTTGCGTTTTTTGGGCTTTTTTGCAGTATTTAGTTGGGCCTATTAGTTGGGCTTCTTATGTTATCGAAATAGAACGTTAAGACTTAGCCTGTTATGTTACGTTATCGACCTAATAGAAGCCGACGCAAAGAAGTAGAACGTTAAGACTTAAGACAGCGAAGAAGTAGAACCAGCAAAGAAGCAGAAAGCGTGAGTCTCGATTCTCGAACTCGA